CTTTCCCTAGCTGTGTGAGGCACACGCAGAACACTGCTTAAATTGTTGTTTAAGCTTTCCCAATGTCTAGGCCTCCTCAGCATTAGTGAGTCACGGTGCAGGTGCAGTTCACAGCTGGGAACAGTGACAAAGGACAAAGTGAATTGGTTTCTTTTTCTTTTCAAATCTTCTGTAACAGAGAAACACAGATGTGGAGTTACTAGGGAATGAAATTTGATTTCACTTGTGCCTTTCAAAACTGAACCTTAGGAGAAAAAAAAAAAAAACCTTAGTAGCAAGTATTTGAAAGTCTTGTGTGTCTGACAAAAACCGCAGAGTGTATTGTGAGTGATGTTTTGCCTTGAGCAGAAAGTGCAAGCTTGCTAAACTTGATACAAATGACCTGAAAGGCTTAAATGTGCAGAAAAGAGAAAATAAAAAATTAAAGAGTTGGAATCAAATGCTAACTGGATTCACCCGCTCCAGCTAAATGCAAGGTTGTTTCAGCTCCCTTTGGCAGGCATGCAGCTTAAACTGCACAGAAATATCAAAGGCTTGTGGGAATTTACCCAAACCTGCTTTTAGAAGTTATATCTCAGAACACATGCAAAAGCATTTTCAGCAGAACTGTCAGGCTGCCAGAATTGCAGCCTATGTCACAGCTGTTTTTCTGTCATTTCTGAATGTTTTTTGTGAGGGAAGAAGTGGGGCATGTAGGAGGCTTCCCTTCTGTTGACCTTCCATGCTCTTATCCCTTACTGTTGGTAATGCTTGTTGTCTTTGCCGCAAATGGGGCTATTCTGAGTCACTGAACCTGAGCCAAATGATATATCCAGTAAATTGGTGTTAGGGATGCTTGGGAGCAATTGATGAACGCCTTTATTTTTAAAAATTATTTTTGAGATGTGCAATGCTGACTCCTCAAACTTCAGGACACCTGCTTATCTTAAAGTATGTGAGAAGCTCTATCTTCAACTAAATCTGAGTTCTTCCTTTTTTGAAGTTAAATATATATGTATATTCTAACACAGGCTCTGAAAACATGTGCCTACCAGCTGGGCTATGTCTTAGTAAAAAATCTAGATTAGGAAGGAGCTGTCGTTTTCCAAAGTCTGTCTATTAAACGTTCGTTGAGCAGATAACTAGTAACTTCTGGAAATACATGTAGAAAAAGAAAATCTGCTTGTGATTAAGAAAGCCAGCGAATGCATTATCTATAATCCTTTCCACATAGTTCAATGCACTAATTAGATTACCAAGGAGAAACCCTCTTAAGGTAGCAAGGGAGAAACTTTGAGACTTGTTCACGCACCTGCAGGAATCTGCTAGCCAAATGCCTGCTGTAGAGATGGAAAATCATCTTTTCTGCGGTTACGGCTTTCATGCTGTCTTCCATAGTAACGCTAAGGCAGCTCAACATTACTGCAGCTTGTTTTTAAGTCCTGAGTACTGAGAACTCAAAAAAAAAAAAAAAAAAAAAAAAAAAAAAAGAAGAAGTCTTTCATAAGAAAAAAAAGAAGAAAAGGAAGGAAAAATCCCAGACTTGAAGGGGTCATCTGGGTGCACTGAGGAGCTAAAGTGCCATTAAAGAAACATAGTTTTAACGTTCTCCACTCCCTGCTAGCCCATACTGCGTTTTAAGGTTGAGTTTTGGGGGGTTGGTTTAATTTTGGGGTCTGGCAAATCCATCTGCACTGCTGGTAGTGCACAGTGGCAGAGCTGCTACACTGTAGGCCCTGTTGAGTCTGGACAGACTTCTGGGAAGACAGAGCTCCTCCCAAGAATTCGTTAGGGGATATAGATACTACAAAGCTGACTTCATAGAGTGAAGAAATTCTTGATGAACGAACATTTTTGAACTTGGAAGATTTCAATTTGATAGTAACGAAGTCATTTTTTCCCCTGCAAGTCTTCCTTCCAGCTCTGGATAGAACCACTCCTAGAGGAGGAAATGTGTTAACGGAAACATTCTTCCCATGCCTTTACTGCTCTTAGGGTTTTTTTCCAGAGAAATCTATTTTTCCATAATACCCAAGTGTATTTGCCAGCAACTTTTCCTGTAAAAGGCAGTATATCCACATCCTCTTTTGTATGTAGTGTAGATAGTGAAAATTTACATATTCTTTTAAGTCTATATTTTTGCTACCATTCAAGGCAAAATGAAGGGAGTGGGACAGGGTTTGGAGCTGGCACTCTCAAGTGCAAGTGTGTTCTTTCTACTTAAAGCTCATCATCAGTGTGAAACACTCAGGAGTGTGTTTGCTCACCAGAAGCTTCCCACTTCTCAGGGCCGCAAATCCTCTTTGCTGTACTGTTGTATGGCAATGAGCAGATCCCGTTACAGGGTACAGTAATATGGTACATCTTGTGGCTTACACACTGTTTTGTGTGGCAGTGGCAAAGAACTATTTTGGGGGTGGGGAGGGCAACAGGATTAAGGGCAGGGGGCTCAACTGTATTCAGCTGCTGTTTGCTGTTTGCTGTTTGCTTTGGGGGGGAAAGCATCCTGGAGCAGTTGCATGCTTCTTATCCAGGTATATAGATTGTGTTGGGATGGTGCTGGTCATGTTCATTTTCCTTTCTCCCACTAGTGAGTCTTGGCCCAGGCTGATGACTAGTAGCTCACCCTGCTACAGCTATCATTTCTAGCTGACAGCAGACTTCTGGAGATGTCTGCTTGTCAGTTGTGTGTGGTCAGCACTTGAGTTTTTCTCCACAACCCTGTGGGACTGCTTTTTAAAACAATAATAAGACAAATACTGTAGGCCCATGATTTCAGGCCCATAGTGCCCATCCCTTCCAGTTTGGGAGGGTGCAAGAGGGCAACCTGCAAACCAAGAATAATCATCCTGGGTCCAGCCTAGTATTGCATCTCCAGCAATGGTCAGTTGTGAGTGCCTCCTGAAGAATATGAGCATGATAAATCTGCAGTGATGCTTTCTCAGTATACTCCGGCAGTTTCCTTATGCACGAATCCACAGACCCACCTGTATCTCCTGATGATTTTTCTTTTAATTGCTTGCAGGACAAACTGTACTGCATTGCAGTGAATCAGATGTTTGTTTCTGGCCTAGGTAACAGTTACGACAATTGGTTATGGAGATAAAGTGCCGCAGACGTGGATTGGGAAGACAATAGCTTCCTGTTTTTCAGTGTTTGCAATATCTTTCTTCGCTCTGCCAGCAGTAAGTAGAATTTGGATCAGTTTTTTTAAGCTGTCCAAACTGGACTGCACAGTTAAATAACTTTAAATTCGTGCTTTTGATAGGAAAATGGGCTTGGCTGTTACTTCAGGCTATATGTTTATACATGCATACATACTCATATAGTGTGTGTAACTGTATGTGCACATGCACACATAAATGAATAAAAACAACTACATCTGTAGAATAACATTTTTGCTTATAAAAAACAAAGTATTTTAGGAAGAAAGACTATTTTCACCATTTGAAGAACTGAGGTGGAGGGGATTTGTGTGTGTGGGGAGGGGTTCCTTAGTTTCCCCCCATACAGATCAGGTGCAGAGCTGAAACTTCCTATTTTTGATTTTATAAAAAGAAGTTGGGGTATTGTAAGGTGAGAAACTCTGCTACAGAGCAGGAATCTAGGAAATTGCATCTACTTTCCTATATGGCACTAAAGCATTTTGTTGCTGGACTTTTTGGATCCCCAAATAATTGAAAGAGGCGACATCAAGATAACATCACCAAAGCAATTAGACTAGACAAGGTATTCCTAACAGTTTTCATAGAAATGCTGAAATTATGCAGTGTGTCTTTGACTTCATTGCTTAGTTTGTCTGGAAAATGGAGTTGAGTTCTAATTTTGGTCATGTTTTGTGGTGAGGAAGAAAAAACAAGTGCAAAGAGCTGTAGTTCTGTCATATGACACTGGCATTTACTTATCGCCCCACTGTGCAGGGATGCCTTTGTAATGTGACTCACTCTGTGACTAGTGGTACCTGTGGACTGTAGCAATAAACACATGCTGTTTGTTTGAAGTTATATGATGCCAAGATCAACCTGCTCAATCTAAATCTTATTTGCTGGTTAAAAATTTTTCTGTCATTGTGGACATTTGAAAATTTGGAGATGATGTGCCAGTAAGTTATTGTGCTTTTCTTCTAGATAAGCCTCTTATGGGCTTTTATTTCATGTGTCAAATGCTTGGCTTAACCACACAGTCTTGTTGGAGTCTCACCAGTTATTTTGCTTGTTTTTAGGGTATTCTGGGTTCTGGTTTTGCCCTAAAAGTACAACAGAAGCAACGCCAGAAGCACTTCAACAGACAAATTCCAGCTGCAGCTTCCCTAATTCAGGTAAGGCCCCTAGCAGTAAGGCAGATAGGAAAGGAACAGAGAAGGAGTGCGGTTTAGTGGTTAAACTACTGTCTGACAATCACAGTTACCAAGTTTTATTATAAATCTAAAACTTACTTTTAACCACCTAACCACTTACTTTTAACTACACTTTAGCCACTAGAGAAAATGAGATAATTGCTTGTCTCCTTCTTAGGAGTGAGCGTAGGAGATGCTACTAGCCTGACATTCACAGGCATAATGACACTAGTTGGATGCAGAGACTTTATTTAACTATTATGACCTTTTTTTTTGTCTTGCTATATCTTTCCTTTACCTTTAATTGCTAACTTCCTTTTTATATTGCCTTAGGCCCTGTGCATCTGCCAAATCCGGAGATGAAGAATGCACATATCTACACATGTATACACACACCTCAGTTTAGAAAAATGCTCCAATATTACATTTCATATCGTAGAAAGAGTACCAAGTTGGCGCACACATACTAAAATGTGGCACGCTGCAGAAAAGGGGAAGCAGCAATATTCTATAACACTTGCAGAGATCTGCTTTTATGAGGTCAGTTTTATCACTGCAAGCAGTAGTTAGGCCCCAGCTCCAAGGGACAACACTACAAAGAGTATATTTAAAATCGCTGTATGCTGACTGTGTTTTTCCTAGTGCAGATTACCCTTAGCAAAGCTGAGTATGAGGTAAAAGTACATTTTATTAGGCATGTTGTTTTGCAGCACAACACTGATTGCAGTCCAAGATCCTTGCAGCATGCATATACGGATTGGGGAATTTGGTGTCAGCTTGTTTTTTGACAAGTTCTGCCTTATCTGTCCTGCGGGACACAGTGTGCCCATTCATTCACTGTGAGTGTTGTTCGGGTTTTATTACAGACCCTGTGGCGGTGCTACGCAGCCGAGAAATCATGCAGTTCTACAGCAACGTGGAAGATCTATGTTACGCCACCTGCTCAAAATCCCCAAAAAACACCAGCGCCATCTAGCCCTAGTCTGAGAAAACAGGTTACGTGGAGTTGGCAAAGCTCCCTATTCTGCTTTAGCTTTTGGTTTGCTTGGGGTAGCTTACTTTATGAAGGGTCCAATGAATTTGGAGAGCTGAAAAGGACTTGTAATGGGACACTTGATCACTTTCCGCATGTCGCAGAAGGATGAATTTAGTTATTCTAAAATATTCCTGAAGTATAAATGTGTCGTCATCTTTTAAATTTGTCCCCTGCCCCCCTCAGTAGTCCCTGGTCTGACAGGCGCTGATTCTTCATTACTTTGCCCCTGTGAAGACTTCTCCATGTTGGCAAAAGTAGTGCAAGTCACTGACAAACTTTCCCCTTTTGGCATTCATTTGCACGGTATTTTTTTGCAAGGAGAAGAGAAAAATAGTTTAAAAAAAAAAAATCTTTATCCACACTTGCAACTTGGCTGACAACGTCTGTCTTTGCTTTGCTCAAGTTCTTCTCTCCATGGTACCATGGAGCTTTCCATGGAGCTGCAGCTGAAGTCCCAGGTGGGACTATCTAAACATAAGTAACCACTGGCAAGCCTGCCTAGCCTTCAGCACCCATTCCAGAAAGAAACAGGTCTGCACTGCAGTAAGTGCAGATACCTCTTGCTCCGATACCCAGCTTGTCTAAAGTGATATTATAGGCCTGACTTTAGGCAGTGAAATGCCACTGATAACCTGTCCCCCAGTGGAGAACTGCAATGCGTTATCCCACAGCATGCACCAATAGCTGCATCTGCACTATGGTGTGACTGTGTTGGTGTTACAGTAGTGTTAGCTACTGAACAGCATGTAAAAGTACAGTGAGACTAGTTCTGTCTTGAGCCATTTTGCAACCAGAGGCACAGCAACCAGGAATAAAGGGGTAAAGCTGAGGGAAGGTGAACAGCCTGCTGCAGCTGGGGGAAGAGCTGGAAGAAATCAGTTATTGATGCCCTTTGTTCTTTCACTGTTTTCTTTAGCTGTGAGAGGGAGTTCCCTAGCATATGATTAAACCTGAGCTTCTCTTTTACTCACCCTAATCCAATCTGATATTAGTGTTTTTTCTTTTCTCACTCATGGATGGTCCTCTTTTGACAAAATAACTTAAAAAGGAGCCTAGGCATTCCTTACTCCACCCAGCCCCTTATTTTAAAGGCTTAAATGTGTACAGATTTAATGCACAGGGTGGCATTTCACTCTCCAAAGAATTCCTAGTTCCTTTTCCTGTTATGAAAGCCCCTGATCCTTGCCTTTACAAGCATCTGGGTGCATGACTATGCAACCACTGTCTCAGTGATGGATACCCATCTCTAACATCTTTCTTGACCTGTTTCAGTTCCAGCTTGCTTTTGTTTAATTGCTCAGAGCTGAACAGAACTAATTCCAAAAGACTAAATGCAGACCGTAGTGAAGTGGGATTGCTTTCCTCAGACCAAGTAGCTTTGTCCCGTTTGTGATGATACTGAGCCAGCAGCCATTGTGCCTGTTTGTGCAAATACTCTCTCTTACGATACTTATCTGTTAACTGCGTAGCCATCACATCAGAGACCAAACTACTTTGCAAAATTGAGCACAGTAACCCTAACTCTGATTCTTGTCAGAAGGCAGCTAGAGCCCCAGGCAAGTGAGAAGGATGTCTCTTCCCTCTCTCTGGAGGTGTGTGAGCAAGGGAACCAGTGGGGCTTAGAGCCCATGGGTGGTTACTCACAGCAAGTGTAGAATTAAATGCCATGTTGTGGGAAGTAATATTTATGTAGCTAGAAGGTAGCAATGGCTGGTCATCTGGAGCAGCATCTAGAAGGTAGACTGTTCATGCCAGGTAGTCAATAGGTGAGTGGCTGCTCTGCTGGTCACTTCTAGTCATGAAGACAAATGAAGACCAGCCTCGCTTAGAACCAGTCAAATTCAAACTTTGGTTTTCATTCTTGTGCACCACTTATGGTGTGTTTAAGTTCTCTCTTAGACTTCCAAAATTCTATTCTAGACTTCTATTGTGGATGCAGAGGGAAAGGTTCCTCTTCTGGTGTGTCTAATCCAGCAAATTTCACCTCTGCATAAGAGGGCTTTAGCTCAGAAAACTGCACAGTACCTTTCTCATAATTTAAAGTCTATGCTTATGTTTTTATTAGCACTTTAAAAGGCTACCTGAAGCCAAGCTAGTGTATACTCAATTGATTAATATTTTGGGTGCCTGGAGCTTTGGGCTCAGTTTGAGAAATGATAATTGAGATATGATTTTCAGAGAGCTCTAGGCATCTTCCCCTGAGAATCATGTTTAAGGTGAGAATCTGGAATCAGCCACTTTGAAAACATTAACCAGGGACATAACGCTTTCTCAGAATTTTAATTGCATTCTTAAAAAGGTAAATTTGCTGTACAGTGAAGTTCATATATGTTTTTATTTTTTTAATAATATCTTCTGATATCATTCTATTTCTATTACCACAGACTAGAAGATGCAAAAGAAAAGGGAAACCAGGCTGTGGTAATGGTTCTGCACCTGTAATAAATCCTGGAGAGACCACTCTGTCTATTCCACAGATCACTTACGATCACGTTGATGAACAAGAAGACAAAAAGGATGCGTCTTTCTACGTAGATGAACCAGGAGGTAATTTATTTTCATTTATATTTGGATTAGCAATTTCTCTTACAGACAATGTTAAAGGGAACTGCACAGTTGAAGATTTCTGTGGAAAAAGTAGAGCTATACAGTAAAGCAAGATACCAGGAAACAAGGATAATTACATGACAAAAACAGAGGGACACAAACCGGGGTATACAAAGGAAGACTTTAGACACATGTGCTGTGAACATAAAGAGGTTTTGTTGTGTTTACCACAATGTAACACTATATCCAAAAATCATGACTGAGTTAATTTTACCTTTCTTAGTTACCTCAGACACGGCCAGAAAGCTCACTTGGATCTGCCCCACTTTTAAACTTACCGTATCTCACAGGGAGCTTGAAAGAAAGATATTTTTCTCTTTTCACTTGTTCACATCACCTTCTTAAGCAACGTGCAAATCAATTGTGATAGGAACAACATAAATATTTTATACACAAGTTAACCAGGAGGTTTTGATGAATGTTGTTTTTTTTTTTTTCTTACTTCATTAAAATGTGTTGTTGTTAGTAATTATTGTATTTCAACCTGGAAACTGGCTGAATTTCACTTCTCAACTCAGATATTATTGTGTTTGTAAAATTTCTTTTTTATGAAGTTTTTGGTGAAAATGTAGATCCCTTAGTTCTTTAGGTCAAGGAAAGACTCATTCATCATATGCTAGGAGTTGAGCTCCCTACCTAGAGGCATGCGAAACCTAACCAAGCTAACTGAAGTATCTGAGAGTGCTGGCTGTAGTAAGAAGTGTTATGCTCTTGTTTAATGCTTTGACTTTCATCTGTCTCTAATAAAACTGAACACCATCTCTGTATAAAATGATGCTCTTGCATGGCATTGAGGCTGATGCATGATTTCAGCCTGGGGAATGTGTGTGTGTGGCTGTCAGTGGTTGTGTCATGGTTTCTTTAGAAAATATTTAAAAAATATTTTTGCTCCCGGAGGGAATATGCTGTGGCTGTTGTGTTGAACACCATGAGCAGTGGCAGTTTCACTGTGTTATTCCGACTTTACAGATTTTCTAGGTTGTATTGTCAAATGATGATCATGCTTAGAGCAGTCAGTTTGAAGTATTTAGCATGGAGCTGAGAGATGTATGTAAGGGGTAGGATCTCCTAGCTCCCACGGATTTAAGAAGACTTCAAGCTGCTGTTTCATACAGGTGATCGCCGTGAGCCTGTTTTTGTGGAAGGAAGAGGTTCGTTCTTATGCTGATGGAGAAGTTTTTTGTTCCCCCACTAGTGTTCTTTCTTATGTTCTGTTTTTTCTTCTGTCGCTTTGTTGAGGTCAGAGTGCTTTTCAAAAATGACAGTGTTTCTTCTTTGTTGTTGTTGTTGCTTGGTGCTTTCAGTGCTTTAACAGGGCTCTGGGAAAGGCGTGGAAAAGTGTGATTTATAAATAAATGACTGTTTTAATGACATGCCTCTTTAAAGTGCTGTGTTCACAGTTCATTCTCAACACCCTTGTCCGCTAGAGCTATGCAGTGGCCCTTGCTGATCATGTAATTGCAGGTTTTGCTGAGCATATCTTGGTATTGTGTCTTCAGTCAAATGACGATAGAGAGAAGAAAGTATTGAATAACTAAATTAGCTATTCTTTAACAATGCTGTTAGAACCTAAGAGGTTGAGGACTGTGTTGTCCATGTTCATTTGTCTGTCAGCACACGTTTATTCATTTAAGCTATATTTCTTAAATGTTCATAGTTTGTGCAAAGTCCTGTGCCTCAGAGAGAAGGGACTGAAAAGACTAGCCTGTATGTTTTGTTTGTTTGTTTTTCCTCCTGACAGCTTGGTAACAGAGGAAAATGAAGGCATTCTCTCTGCCCCCACCCTTTTTTTTTCCTGAAAATGCTTTTCTGTTGTGTTTTTATTTTTGTAGTTGGTGTGTTTTATTCTTCTGAGAGACAAGCATGCATATTCCCTTATCAGTTAAATTTTTATCTGTTTTGCTTTTCTGTTTTGCCTTAGCCAACGTCAGGGTAAGTTGCACTTCATTTGACTTTTCTGATTTATTCTTTCTGTTGCAGAGCTGCCAGGAATGTAGCTGCCTAACTTGACTGCTCAATTGACTGAACATTCTTGACACCTCTCAAAAGTTTAAACCTGCCTTCTCTTAGCAAAGTCCTCTTTGTCAGAAATAATGGGCTTCTATTTCTGGGAAGTGCAAGCAGCAGGCTCCGAGCCTTTAGATGGGGGTGTTTTTTCCCTCTCTTAAAAAGCTGGAAGTAGAAGAGGCAGAGAATTAAAATAAAAATAAAGAAATTGCAATTGAAAGGGATCATGTCAGATTCTGTTTCACTGTTCCTGTAGGGGAATATTTTAATTCATTGATTGTGGAAGCTGGATGTTTTACAGATGGTGGCAAACTTTGAGGCTGAATTGGATCATTTCTATAGGCCTGACCTAGCAAGAATAAACCTGTTGCTTTAAACTGAGCTGTTCTTGCCTGCTGCTCCAATCAGGTGCGAGAATGAAAGTAGGGAGACCTGAAACAAATGTCTAGCAACTGCAGACAAAGGAATAACAGTCCCACAAGGAAAATTCCTTGTCCTGGGTGGAAAGTGAGTTGAGGCAGGGATGAATCTTCCTAGATTAAGGGAAGATTTACCTTGATTCAGGAAGTGCATGTGGGCACACCTTCTCTCTTGAGAGGTGAGTTTCTCTTAGGCTATCCTGTTCAAGTATCCATGATCATCCAGCATGATCTTGGCACGTTTAAAAAATTTCTTAAGATGCATATCTTTCAAGACTAGGCAAAAAAGTTAATGCTTTCCTCTTCTATATCTCTGAAGCGAAGGTTTAAGAAGAGGAAGCCTTACAAAGCCTGCAGACATAATCAATAGTAATAAAGGTTTGTGAGACAGCGGTGTATGTCTGTATATGTGTAATAAAAAACATGTTTTGGAATTCCCTGCCTAAATAAAACAAGTATAGTCTTTATGGCTGTATTATCAAGTGAAAGTGAAGCACTAAGGGATATTAGAGAGTTTATGGGGCAGATGATAGTAGTAACAGGGATTCCACAATCCCCCCCAAGTACGCTGGATAGCTCTCAGGGTAGTGCATAATGTAGAAACTAAATCTTTAGATACCATAAATGACTGCATCTTGGAACAAACACTAGGGGAACCCAAAAGAAGAAAAGCAGCTGTTGATTGAGTTCTGCACTGCATCGGGTTGAAGGTATAACTGTTGAAGTGTGGTCCAGAATAGGACCAAATTGGCCATCCTTACGCAAATGGAAGGGCTAAAAATGTCCCGCAGTAGCTTCCTTTTTTGAGGTCAAATTTGTCAAAAATAAGTTATTTAGAAAGAAATTAAAAGAAGCAGCTAAAGGAAGCATGGATTTACAGTTCTGGAAAATAACTGTGGTGCAGGAGATACTCTAGTGCAACAATCTCTCCCTAGATTTCTACTACCTCAAATCAAGAACTTGCACATGCCGAGGTGCACAGTTTAATTAGTTTTTCTGTAGTGATTTGAATGCCTCAGTGGTTTTATTCTCATTCAAGATTATTATAGCCTTTATTATTGTTCTTTGTAGTCTAGAAATTGAGCTTAATAGTATTTCTGTCAATCACTATGTACTCTGCATGCTCTTCTGCAGTAGGGTCAGTTACCAGGATGACAAGGCATCCTGGTATGAACTCTTTGGCATCTTTAATGTGCCTGTAAGATTTAAAGAAGGCACTTAGGTACCTAGATGATAGTTATTTATGATAGCAGGAGTCAGTGACAGGTTATAAAGACCAATCCTAAGAGAAGAATAAAAATAGCATTTGAATGTAGCTGACAGTCTTTTATAGATGCTGAGTTTCATCTTCAAATAACTATCCACTGTAATGCGTGCTTCCCAAAATGAACTGAATAGCTGTTTCATAACATTTTTATTAGGAAAAAAAACTATAAAAATGTGGAAGTTTTCAGACCTTGGGGGTCAGCCTCCTGAGACTCCTCCAGCAGATGGAACATATCATTCTGTCAGTTATTGTAGGTCGTATACACAACTCATTATTGTAAAAATTTGTCAAAGTCACAAAACTCTCACAGTGATAAATCTCTACTGGGATAAAAACAAAAAGTTCTCTATTTATCACTCTGGTTTTTTTTATTTTCTTGCCTGCTGATGTATTTTATCCCTCATATTTAAAGCAAAACTGTATAAAAGTAACTTTTCAACTGGAGAAGGAAAGAACTTTAATTTGGATGACCCCCAAAATACCTTTGTAGTCCTCTTATATGAATGCATAATACTGTTAATGTTGATTTTTATCTGTAATGTTAGTTTGGGTGACGTTCCGGAATTGACCCATCCAGCAAGTGGATTGGTTGCTCCTAGAAATAGGTTGCATTTCCATTGGGAAAAGGACTGTTTTCCCTCTGGTGTGGATGGATTAAAATCTGCAGTACATATAAAGAAGCAAACATTTTAAATGAAGTGGATTCATAAAGATTCCAGTGCTGACAAGTTGAGTGAAAGGTGAGAAAAACCATGTGGCTAAAATTAACTAAACAAACCAAGCACCAAAGCTTTTGAGGGTCTGCATAACTGTCAGTAAGGCAGAAAAGGGTAAATGTAAAGATATGCTCCAAATTAGCAAGAGAAAGTACCCAGATACCTTCCTTCTGAAAATCTTTATACCTTTAAGAAGGTGAGTTTTGCAGATGCTGGTGGCTTTGCAATGAGAACCTCTATTCAGCATAAAGCTGTTTAATTTCTAAATTTGTCAGTTCAGGACTTGTGGGTATACTGACACTTTCTTGTAGGTAAGAATTGTGGGAACATACTTGCATGCTTCTACAAGAAAGTTTTCAGTTTTAGTTGCCCCTCAGCCCTAGCTGTCCTGAGCAGAAGCTTTCCGCGAATTCTGTTTTGTCTTCTTCCGTGACCAAATGGGGACAGTAGAGCTATGAGAGGGGGTGGTGTAAGGGGAGATGGAGGCTGGCAGGAAAAGATCAGCTGTCTCTACCAAACACACTTTTACTT